CTATGCAGCTTTACTCTAGGTGGGTCTTTCTGTTGGATGTTGCAATTTAATTTGTTCCCCATCAACCCTGATGATCTGGTTGAACTCCCAGAACTGGCCTTGCCTCAGCATGGCTGTAGCACTCTGCTCTCCAGGCCCTGGCCTCTGCACCATAGCCTCCAGTGTCTGATTTCAAAAGGGTTTGACTTCAGGTTTCCATCCAGGTAGGGTATGACCGAAACCTGCCTGAGAGACAGCACTTCTGCTTAATTAGCAGGAGGGGTCACTCTTGAGTTTGTGGAAGGTGGTTTTCTGGGTGGGGTTGAGTGTGGTTGTCTCGAGAGCAATTAAGAGGGTTAATACCTGTTGCTACTCTTTGCTGCCTTGCTATTATACTGAGGCAACATTGTTTTAAATCCAAATTAAACTTGGCATAAGTACTGGATCTTATATTGCTTTACGGCTTTAGCAAAATACTGAAGAGAGTAAGCATTTCAAGGTTGAAATACACACCAGTAACTACTTAATTCATAACGTTTACTAGAACAGGTAGGACGTTTAGAGGTGAGTTTATCTAGCAACATAAAAGAAAATGCAACATAAAACACAGCCTGTTTCCACTCTTGGGTTCTAGGATTTTTCCCCTCCCTCCCCAGGTTTGAAATGCACCTGGTAGCCTAAGGATGTAGCAAAGACTCAAATTCTTGTTTGTTTTCTCCTAGCCAGGTCAAGTTCTGAGGTGAATCAGAAGAGATAAGAGAATAGTTAAGAACCTTTTGTGCTCTACGGGAAATGAGTTTACAGGATGAAGATGAAGAGCAAGTTGTGGTGGGGAAGTAGGAAGGATTGTCTAGGGTAGTTTTTCAGCTTAAGTAGAAATGTGCTTGTTTAAGGTGAAAAGTCAGGAGGAGTTTAATATGTAAAGGGTAAAATGAAATTATTACATTGAATAGTATGAAAAGGAGTTCTGCATGGAAAATGCATGTGATCATAAATAGTTTTGTGAACAAGAACCGGATGCCCAGGGCAATGGAGGGGGGTAGAGTCGTGAAACGACCCGTGAAGCCACAGCATTGTGTAAATATAACCCAGAGATGGTCTCCCTGTCCTCTCTGTCTGTCTTCCATGGTGCTCTCAGTCCTCCTCGTCTGTGCTGTATGAAGCAAAAGGTTAGTGTCCTGTACTTAACATACTTGACATGTATAAACATGGATGTTTGTTTAGTTGCCATTAACTGAGGGTTTCACTGGGTATAGCTGGCCAGGTTTGTGTGGGAAGTTGTCTGGTCGGTAGTGGCTGAGTCAAGAGATGCTGAAATGCTTTTATATTTTTTGCTCGTCTCTGTTTTCTAGAAGACATTTTCAGTGGCAGCCTGTACTTTGTGCATTTTCTTTTGTTATTAATTTGCCTGAAGACTGTTAGATTTGCAAATGGTTTTACTCTAGGTCTCTGAGGATCTGTGATCTGAATTCTTTTGTATTCTGCTAGCACTACTGCCATACTGGACTTAACCAAACCTATGAAGGTCTCATCTTCTTAATTATTTTTATAATAGGAAGTTGTTCAACCATGGTATCTAAAAAAGTAATTTAGAATTTGAACAGTGTAATATGTTCTTCATCTTCACTTTAATTCATTTTGCCTATGGAAATGAGTGAGAGTGTTTAAAAAATTTAGAGATGTGGGAGGAGAAGGTGTGAACCAGAGGTGAAAATTAGCATTTGATTCCCCTATTCCTACTTGTATTTTTAGAACAGTGAATAAACAAGTAATTTTGGGAGGAAATGGAATTGAACTCTCTGGAGAACAAGGCAGTAGAAAGTTTTCAAATATTTTTACATTTAAGAAAATGGGTGTTTTATTCTCTTGTCAGAGTAGAAATATAGGAGGAATATGCTAAATAAAGGTTTTTTCTGTTATTACCTACTGAATTTTCAGCATATTCTTTCTTTGACTACTTGTCTCTGTATTAGCATTCTTGTTAATTTAGCACTGCTACCTGTAAAAGTAGCAGAAAGACTGACAGTTTGTGCTGGTTACTGAGATATATTAAACACTGCCACCTAAGTCTAGTCCAAGCAGGTTTGACATGATGCCTAAAATTGCAGAATTAATTGGTCAAGTCTCCTAGACTCTAATGTTTTGTTCACTCTTACAACCCAGCCATGGGGAGCACAGTGACCTGAGTGTTTTGGGCTGCAGAATGGCCAAGACACTAATGGGAAGAGTGAGGACACCCCCTTTACTTCAGTAGATACAGATGCTGAAGCCCCTTGGCAGCAAATTAAGGCCCTTCCATCACTGGATCTGACCGAGCTTTGGATTGAAGTATTTTGCAATAAATGGAAGCACTCTTGAAAGAGGAAGGAATATCTTACTGAGCTGATCTTCAAAGCCCACATGAATAACACTTTCTTTATTGCTCAACAATTGGTTGTACTCCATGTTACGTGGTTTAGAAATGGGAAGAAAGCCTTTTTTTGTTTTGTGTTGTTTTTAAAGGCTAACTTTCTTTTTCCCAAAATACTTTGCATTGCTGGGGAATGTGACTTGAGGAGAAAAGTTGAGAAGTGAGGGGATTTGACAGCCAAAGTAACAATTAAAATGAGGAAAAGCAAATAGGCAGCATGATTTCCATTTTAAGCATTGTCAGAGTCAGAAACATGCAGCTGAGCTTCAGAAACAATGTCTAGATATGAAGGTATTTGGGCAGTGGTAAAAATACCAGGAGATAATTAATGGAAACAGAAATGAAGTTGGAAACACACTTTGCCTTAGGGATAAAACTTTCAAAGCATTCTGGGTACTTGGATGTCCAAGTCCCATTCAAGTTAACGTCTATCAAGTTCTTTCCTCTTGAGCTTTAGATTTTGTGTGCACGCTCAAGAATGTGTTGAGCTCTGAACAAACATTAAGACATTTTCAAGCAGCAGAGGCTCTGCCTTCCCACCCATGAGAAGTCAGGTGGGTCAGCTTGTGTGTTCCAGCTCCTCCATCACTTGGGGAAGGCAGGAAGTGTTTGTACTGGCACATGGTGCTGTCCTTAGGAAGCTGGTGGAATCTAATGAAGAGGAATAAGTTACAGCTGTATGTGTAGTTTAATTATGTGCACATCTTCATTGTGAATCAAAAGTCTGTTCTTTTTAATAAGCTATTGATAGAACAGTAAGTGAGGATGGAGACTTGGCAATGGGAGAACATGAGATTTGACAGGTTGGAAGGCTCAAGGACATGAACAGTAACGTCAAGGCTGTGGTAGGAGCCTGCTGAGATGTGCAACTCATTGTCAGTACAGCCTTTTGCTCAAGAGTGTTCCTCTATGTAAATCAGTCTCTGAGTCAGAGGAAAGTAGTGAAAAATTCTAGAAAATGCCTTAGTGTTTCTTTTTCAGAGAAAACAGGTGCAAAGTGACCTTTTGTTTCCCCCCTCACTGTGGTCTGGTGGGAGCATTCTCACTGAACACTGTGTCATGCTTCTTGTCTTGTTTTCTTACTTCTTGAAGAATGCTAAAGCCTTGTGGAATTTATTGTTTTCTAATGTTATCCCCAACTGGAAGGGTGAGTAGGCTGTAAAAACAAACAGAGGAGAAAATACACATTGAAGTCAAAAGCTGAAAGAGCACCTCTTGGAGATACCTGAGCCAGCTTCCAGCTGATGACCAACCTGCAGAGTTGTAGTGACATATTAAGCTGCTAAACACAGATGGAGGCATGGTGGGCTTAGTGCTGAAACCACATGCTGCTTTGGGGAGCAGCCTCATGGTTCTAAGGCCAAGTTCCTTCAGAGACAGATAAATCCTCACCAGCTGAACTCCTGCTTCTTTTTCTAAGGTAGATGCTTCCCCAGCCACAAACTTCTTGCTGGCTTTCAGTGTGACACTGGCACCTTGATCTTTGTGTTTGAAAACCACTTTCAAGTTTTACTGTTTGAATATGAGAAGCTGCTTATGCTACAAGTGCTTAAGTTAACCAAAATCCCAGCTCATTTACTGATGGCCTTGCACTGCAAGAGTTGAGTTTTTTTGTTTTATTTTGTTTTTTTGCTGGGCTTCATTTCTAAAAAGAGCTTGTTTTAAACTAGAATATTATTCTGGAGTTCAGTGAAAATTATTATGGAACAGTAGTGGAGTTTGGCAGTCTTTTGAACTTCATTTTCTAGCAATCTGCTTCTGGTAAGTCTGGAGTAAGTCTGCTTCTGGTAAATTTTGGAGAAGGGTGAAAATCCCATTGTTAGGGATAATAAAAAACCCAAATTTGTTACCAAATAGTTTACTTTTTTTAACTTCACAGATTCCACCTGACAATGCATTTTTGGAAATACTACATACATTAAAAAAAATTAGATGATGATTGTTTGAAGAGATGACATTGTTGATAACTACTCTCAAGGATCTTTTTAGAAGTTCTGGTTTTACGTTGATTGCATGTATGCCTGGACTTTGGGTTTCCATTAATTAAAGGTTATGCTTTAAGATCAAAGCATTCTGTGTACTCTGTCATCCCTATGATTCATTAGCCTTAACACCGAGCCTTTGCCTGTCTTCAACTTGCAGGGCAGATCCATGAAACAAGGAAGACACATCTGTGTTAGATCCCTCTGGCCGTACTGCCTTTCCTTTGGAACACCATGTTCAGCAAGTGAGGGTGTTGTCAATTGTAATGACTTCTTTCATCCTTAAGGAACACGGAAAAGAGAACTGATAATGGGATACATGACCCCGCAGTAACATGCTTGTTGTGGGGTGTTGGCTGCTTAATAAAATAGCATTTGAGCCAAAACTGTTCCATGCCCAGAGAAGGCAAAACCTTCTCTTTAGCAAAGTCTGCAGAAAGCTGAATTTCCCCTTGTTTTGCTTCTTGATAGCAGGTCTTAGTGCTTGTAGTTTATCTGGTTGAGGTTCTTCTGATTACAGCTCAGCACAGAACAAGTGTCTCTGCTCACTTTATAAATAGCAAGTTAGCATCTTCTCATAGTTGGCCTGACAGCTGCACTGCCTTGTATTTGCCTTTTCACTGCACATCATGGAGTTTTCTTTTGACAAACTTGACATAGTAAGGCTGCTGAAACAGTCCAGCAGATCCACCTTTGGGGTAACAGACCGGGTGGAGGCAGGTGCCTGTTTCTAGCTCTTATTGGATACTCTGATCTAACTGGTGCTCAGAGAATTGAATCAGGGTGGTGGTGTTGGAAAAGGCTTGGACAGGCCACCACCAAGATTACCTTTCTAGGGTGAACCTTCTCTACCTCTGTGCTGTCAGCAGTCTGGAGTTCTCTCAAAGCACAAGATCTTGAAAGGTGTTCTTTCCTATGGAAAACCATGACCTCTTTGGATGGCGGTGAAGTAGGATGCCAGGTTTCTTGCTACTAGGAAGGTATATCTTGATAAGGGTGGTGTAATTTGCTTACAGAGATTAGAGAGTGGATTTCCCTCCCTGAGATTTCTCAAAGTTAAGAGTGTGTGTAAACTTGTGAGTAATGGACTGCCTCTTGGGGTATTTATTTTATATGCCTGTGTTTATGTTAAATAATGTAAATTGTGGAAGAGAAGGGTGTGGGATAGCTGTAAAACGTCTTTATCACAGCCCATAAAAAGGTCATGTTTGCACTGCTTTCTTGACACCAACAGAATCTGAGAGATGGAGAGGTTGTATATTTAAAGCAGAGATGGATGCAGAGGTTGTATATTTGAAGCCGAGCAGTAGGTGCCTCATTTTGCTGCCATGGTACTCCAGACAGCACTCGGTGTTGCTTCCTGCTCAGAGCCCTCTGGGAGGAGGAGAGGTCTGTGATGTTACGCAGGGTGTCTTGTGTTCTTCCCAGCTGTGAAATTGTCTGAAGTAAGGATTTGCCTGCATGCAAATTTGTACTGGCTTAGAACTTGTCTTCCCTTTTTGCAGAATATATAAATCCTATTTTTGACTGAATGGTGTTACATTGGTTTAAGGGTGATCTGTGTTGCTGGAAGTCAGGCTTTTAGTCTATGTAGCTAAAATATTTCCCCTCCCCTTCCCCCCCCAGTTGCCTGTAACCACTTTTCCTTAGATCCTGGAGAACGGGGCTTAGAAGTTGATCACTATTTTTGTAACTTTATACTGTTGCCCTTTTGGTGTTCGCCCCCCAGTGCCTCCTTAATTGACTAACACTGACATGATTGAAACTGAAGCAGAGTCTGGTTTGGCTGAATTGGTTTAAAATAGTACCTCATGCTAAACCAGAGCAAATAAGCAGATATGCAAACCCTACATGTCCTATTCCATGCCTATTTCCTGGTGGTTTAACTGGATTCTTGGCTAGGGTTTTGCACCTTTCCTCCTCTAACATGGCTTTCTTTTTCTCCCACTCAAAATACAGCTAAAAGGGTTTTGTTTGCAATTAGGAGCTTCTCTGTATGTGACTGTTTTGTTCAGTGCTGGGGGGAATCTCTCCTGATACCCATCTAACTCTCTATCAGAGCCACATATACTACAAAGCACCGAGTGGTAGCTACTTAAGCAACAGATTCATAAACTCGCCTTTGTTGTAGTTTTCTGTTGTTTTGTGCTTCTAAGGAAGTGGGCTTGTGTTGCTTTGATAAAATTAGATGATAGTTCTACAAACTGCAAGTCGCAAGACCAGATCTTCTGTCAGAAGCTTTAATTGTGGCAACTAAGCATCTGACCCAAATCTATGGCTGTGTACAATGGTTTTGGAAAATGTTGTAAATCTAACCTTTGTACTGCAGATAGGTGGAATTATTCTGTTTTTCATGTAAACCATCACTGAACCTGATGCCAAATAAGCCAGGCTGATACTAAAAACCTTGTTTACACTGTGTTTCTGTCAGGATAAGTGTATTGAGTGTATCCCAGTTTAAAAATATCTTTCAAGTCTTGTAGAAATATTAACCTCCCAAATGTTGTGTTGAACAAATGATGATGGCATTTGAGCACTGCTTGAAGAAACCAAATTGTTAAAAATAAGCTAGTTTTTAGGTTAAATCTGCAGATAGTAATAGGCTGGCTTGGACAATTAATTTGGATTTAGAGTTGCTTAATTTATCTTGGCATTTGCAAATCCCAAACTGACTTGTGGAATGTTCTTGATTGAAAGAGATTTTACTGAAAACATGTGTGGCTGTTTTTGAGGGCAACAAAATTTGAAGAACAAAGTAGCATCTGTATATAAATGGAGGCAGACAAGAAAACTTACTGTAAACATAGCTAATGTCATTTTTGTGGCATCATTTGTTCTTAGCATGTGTTCTGGTTGAGAACAAAACAGGCTATAGGGAAAGCAAGTTCTGTTCTGTAAAAAGATTGTTAGCTATTCTCAATGGCATTTTAAATTTTTAACACTGACAAAGCTTGAGTATAGATCTGTGTTTTTCAGATTAAAATAAAAATTATTAATTAGAAGTAGACCTCAAATTCATGGAACTTTTCAGCCTGAAGTAAAATACTGGCAAGAGTATCTTATCCTTAGTCTAATTATGACTTTATATCAGGAGATGGTATTCAGTAGAATTGCCAGGATTTTTGAAATGTAACTGATTCAGAAATGAGGAATGAAGAATGTTACTGAATTGGTCTCATGTTTAAAGACTTGTTTCTGTCCATTAAAAACCTGTGTTGCTACAAAAATGACTTAACTGTGGTAATGGAAAATATTCGTCACACTTTCTTTATGGTGATATGCACTTTGGAAATTATTTTTAGTTATCTCTGTGTTCAACAAGATGAAACTATTTTTTTGATTCATTGCAGGACCAGTTTGACAACTTAGAAAAACACACGCAATGGGGTATTGATGTCCTGGAAAAATACATCAAGTTTGTAAAAGAAAGAACAGAGATTGAACTCAGCTATGCAAAGCAGCTTAGGTAAGTCAGTATGTAAAATTCTGGACTTCGAGTTGCATCTGCTCAGACCTTGTGGTTTATAATAATGGCTTATAGAGAATATCTTTAATTTAGAGCATCAAAGCTAAAGTTACTTTAAGATACTGTTTTATTATCTCTGCTAAAGATAATACGCTTTGCAAAAAAGCATTTTTAGGTGACTGAGTAGGATACTTGGTCTTAGTCATGATTTATCGATGATTAATGGCCCAGACTTTGAGGATAGCATTGTAATGTTTTCCATGAAATTAGGACTGCTGCATGTACATGCTGAAGGATTTCAGAAATCAGCAGAAACATCATAACTTGTTGTAAGGTGAAGTTTAGGTTTTCTTTTAATAAGACAGGCTTTGAATGGAGAAACTCATGTTGGAGAAACTGCAGGTCAGAAAGTCAGTCTGAGCCTTTGGAAGTTTTGTCTGTGTAGTTAGCCAGGTTGCAGCCTGAGATTTGAATTTTGACAGTTTTATAATCTTGCCTCTGTTCTTGTGATGTGTCTCCTGAAGAAAGACATCCTGTGAATTTATCTCAAGTAGCTAAATTACTGGAAGTTCCTGCTGTGTGTTCTCTGTCTGGTTCAAACCATCAATTTGTAGGCAGAAGGACAAGTGTGTGTGAACTAGACCCAGAAAATGTGTTTCTTGAGGTCAGATCCAGTGTAAATGGGGAAGGGACAAGGGAAGGGATGCTAAGAATCCTTCCACAAGAAGGGAGGATAAAATAAGAGACTAACAGGGTTTAGAAAGGGGTACAAGACACAGACAGTCTTGCTTGTATGGAGAGGCTGTGCAATATTGTTGGCAGCCAGTAGCCTCCAGTGTGTTGAACTGGAGGTAGTGGAGCTAACTGGAGAGGGGAGTGCAGGCCTAATCCTTCTTAACCCCTTCAGGAAATCCATACCTTTTTTCCATGGCTGTGATACATCTTAGAACTCCTTCCATCTTCTCAGTGTTTATAGAGTTTGGGATATGAAGTTCTAGTTGAGCTGTTTATCTCTAGCACAATGTCTGATGAAAGAAAAACAACAAACCACACCCAGAGTTTTTTTATGCTTGTGTTAGAATGGATTTAAGATGCACAATGTCCTGTTATTTGTGAGGAGCTGGTGGTTCACAAAACCCTGCCTTTATGGTTATGTGCTTTCTCAGGGGAATGCCACCAGGGTTCCCCAGGGTTTCTGCTATAGACAAGCAGGAAATAGAAGATGACTTGAAAAAGAACAAATTGCTCATATCCTATGGAGATGAGAAGAGATTGAATTACAGAGGCCCAGTGAGCTGGAAGAGAGTATGACTGGAGTGGGGAAATTCTAGCAGAGTATCTGTGTGAGCAAGCCTGTCTGATGAAGGATCACACACTAGACTCAGTTTCTTAGGATGATAAATTTCAGGGTTGAAGAGCATGATTATGAAAATAAAGACACACAAAAATGTTCAAGGAAATGGGAGATAGTTTTACCTTTGAGTATCTAGAAATTCTGAACTCTGAAGTTTTATTTCTCATTCTGTCTTGGACTTGCACAACAAACTTTATCAGTTTGTATCTTCTGTCTGCATTTTGATTCCCTAGACTAAGCTGCATTTGTCCCTCCCACCCATGGGTATGATTTGAGGACAAATATGTTAATTCCTGAGTAGCTTGTCTAATGTGCTGATGGATGAATAGCCTTTAGGAAGACAGACTGAAAAAAAAAAAAGCTTAAGATATCAGGATACTCTGAGAATCAGGAACCCCTCTGATGGATAATAAATGTGGGAGAAAGAGCAAGATGTCAGTGAAGTGGAAATAAGAAAGCAGAGAAACAAGCTGGAAAGGCGGTGAAAAAAACTATGCAGTGTGAAAGGCAAATAGAAGGGTGAATTTGAGACAGGTGCAGAGGCTGGCACAGAATCTTTCCAGAATTGCAATTTTACTGCTGATCTTTGTTCTTATGTGTTAATTCCCTCTTTAATCACTGTTAGCCCTGAAGGTGTCATTGCTTTGTGAGCTTGAACCTGAGAAGTGTGAGTGTTCTGGTCACGATGCTGCATGATTTGCATGCTGAACTTCAACGTGTGGGAGTCAGTGACTCTTACTGGAATCAGCACCAGTGCTGGGTTTTTTGTGTGTCCTGATTTCTAATCCTACCTATGTTTTTGGTTTTTAAAAAAAGGGGGGGGGAAAAAAAATAGAAAAACATTAAATATATAGACTCTGTTACATGTTTTATTAAGTACATTGAAAATAATGTTTAAGGCAGATGCTAATTTGTTACTTGCTTTCAGAATATTTTTGTCTGGATTTTGTTGCCCTAGCTCTGTCACTTCTACACTTTCAAGTGTTCACAAGAAAATAGTAGCTCTGTATGTGAGAATTAGGTAGCATGGCAATGCAGGGACACTTGCATTTTGTGTGTGTGAAAATGCCTTATTAGTGTTGTCTTCTGTGTGTGTTTTCTTGTGGTTTTTCCTTTCCTCTTCAAGAAGGTGTGTGGAAGGAGGCATTTCCATGGTATCTGAAGGGCCATCAGGCTTCCTGGAGTTATGTAGAACATTTGGCAGAATTCTTGCCATACTGGTATTCTTTGGTTGAAGCTGCTGTACACAGAATTAGAAAAAAGCTTATTGTTTCAGAGACTGGGAAGGAGATGCTAATTTGGATACCTGCCAGGAGGGATACTTAGATTTTGAGAAACACATTTGTCTGTGCAAATCTGCCAGGGTTCTGGCTACTATTCTGTTTGGGCAGATGCTTCGTAATTCCTTAAGAACAAAAGGACTAAGTGTGAGATGAGGTTCTGCTGTCTCCCAGATAGCAGTAAAAACAGCAACAGGGTGGGTTACACCTCTGAAAAAGCAGGGGTTTTCCAGCTGCTTGTGTTCTGGGGGTCCTCCAAAGAGTTTGGCACAGATGGGATAAGGAAGCTTGGTAGTCCTTCAATTACCACTTGTATGTTAATCACTGAAACAACCTGTAAAGCTGAAAGAGATGGCTTCCATGTCACAGAAGGGTGACAAAAGCTGCAGGAATGTACGTAGTCATAGGGCTTGGTTTAGAATAGAGGAGATCCCAGCTCTGCAGCACTGAAAAGTTCTTACAATTTGCTAAGTAAGATTTGTCAGCTCTCTAGTTTTAAAGATGTGTGTTGTGTCATGCTACAGTGCAATATGCATCATAATACTGAGAATTCTTATTCAGGATACAATTGCTTGAAGAGCGTATCAATATTTTTAAATCATTAGTTGGAAGTGGGGTAATGAGGAATACAGTCATCTGTGCTTATTGGGTTAATTGAATTTTGCCTTTCTCCCAACATCCATTGATAATTATGAAATGATCCCCCCTTTGTCATCTCAATGCACCTTCCCACAGCTTTATTAAGATTTTTCTCTTCCTTGGAAGCATCTTGCTAAAGGCTGTCAAATTACCTGGTCATGAGTGTCATCAGCTGCAGCAAACCACCCTTTAATGAGCCAGCTGACCTTTGGGTATGGAGCAGCACCTTCTACCGGGTGGAGTTTGTAAAGCATGTCTGTATGTCCAAGGAGCAGTATTCTGACTGTAAAAGGGTCTCTGCTTTAGATCTGGTGAAGGAGGTTTGTGACATGACCCTAATTTATGAACTTCTTGGATTCAGAATCTGGGTTACAGAGACTGAAGCACCATGCAGCTTATTTTTTGAGTGCTACTACAGGACAATCAAAGTCTAATTGCAGTTGTGCTTCTAAAAAGGTGTCTAGAAACTGAAAACAAAAACTCCACAGAGTGTGTGCATGCAAAGATTGTCCAGTTCCTTTAAAGGAGATTTAAAATTTAATTTTATATTTGTATATTTTTAATTTTAGGAATCTTTCAAAGAAATACCAACCCAAAAAGAACTCCAAAGAGGAGGAAGAATACAGGTATGTTCATGATCCATTGCTAGGTGAGCATGTGTTGATGGAAGAAGGGGAGAAGGTTGGGTTATTGACTAGGATTTGGCTTGTAAACCAAAGATTTTGAAGTCAAGTGAAAGATTATAAAAATCATACTTGCAGAAACAAACTGATATGATAGATACTAAGGAGTGGATTTTCAGTGTCTGGATTTGGTCTGAAAATACTCAATTCCCTCGATATTACGGCTTCTGGATGCCTGTTTTGCTGGGTTTGGTTTTTTTTCCTTCATGTACCTTAAAAACTTTTAAGCCAGACTGTATGATCCTGGCTCTTTGAAGTGAATGACCAAACTCTTAACTACTTCCAGCAGGAGAAGAAACAGTTGTTACTTTTAGCATGAAACTTGAGCAGTCTGTGTAAGTATTAAATTACTCAGATGGACTGGCAGCACAGACCAGTGACTTAAAAAGAGAGAACATTATAATACCACAAAGAAAACCGGTGTTTCTTGGAGAATAAGGTGAAGGTTGTAGCTCGTACTGCCAGTATTCTGGGATGGATCAAGGCATGACTTGCTGCCCTTGAAGGAGGGTCCCTTGCCTCAGCTGTCTGCAGTTGATTCATGTGGCAGGAGACTAATGGATTGCACAGTTAGAGGCTGCAGCATCAAAGCACAGCTCCTGCACCAAGTGCCACTGCAGATGTGGATACACGTGATGACAGACCATATGTCAACCCATTCCTGCCCTTGGTGAGATTAAAGATACTCCCTAAAGAAGACTTTCTAGAAGAGGAGCTTTCCAACAGACAGGCTGTAAGCCAGGGCAGAACCTTTTCCTCAGAGCACTCTGGCTGAGGTTTCTCCATGTCAGTGTTTGGTAAAGCATCTGAAGACACTGGGGATTCTGACCCTGCAGCCTTGTTTTGCAGGAGGCTGCTCTGCCTCTGGAGACCCCACCAAGCAGACTCCAACCCTTTACTTTGAAATTTGAAATGTTTCAAGGGATTTTGGATACTGGTCCAGCTGTGTGATTACATTAATTGAGATTTTTGGGTCAGACCCCCAAGCTGCTGTTTACAGCTACTCTCGTGGCTCATATTAACAAAGATAACAGCCTTTTCATTTTCTTTTAAATTTGTTTTTAGTTAACATTGTTTGGGGATCAGTTTTGATATTAAATAATAGAATGCTGTTGTTTCCTGACATACTGATATTTACACAAGGAAGCCTCTATTACCAGCATGTTGGCTGTGCTGGTCTGTACCTGGGTTTAGGAATAAATTTGCCTTTGGGGAGTTATGCTGTAAATGGTTATCACAGCATCCTTTTCTGACACATCTTTCATTGCTGAAAAGGGATATTGGAGTTAAATGATTCATGTGAGGTGGCACAGAAGATCCTGGGTATCCTTTGCCCTTTTAAATATAGTGTTCACCTCAGTATCATTTCCTCATGTTTCTGAACAACATCTGAGGGTTTGTCATGTGACCTTTGGGTGCCTGGGACCCTGCTTTGAGACAGCTTGTCTAGAAATGATCTGTTTTCAACCTGGTTCTCAGTCTGTAGTTCTGTGGCTTTGATCCCCTGTCCGTTGCAATAGGGATTTCTCTCAAGGCACCACAGCTTGACTCTGCATGTGGCTGCTTCTATTGCACTATTTTCTTAATTGCTTTTTTAGTTTATTTTTTCAGTCTTTTCTCTGACTCTTTCATCCCTGCTTGTACCACTCCTCCCTGTTTCCTCTAAATCTCTCCCTCTTTGCTTTGTGTTTTCACTCCATGTGATGTTAGCAGTGCAGACCACTGCTATTTAATGTGAAGTGTTTTTCTAGTATGCACAAGTGCTTCAGAGCTGCTGTTTTCCAGCTGACCAGCACAGCCAGCTGGGGTATTTAAATGCAGCTCTGTTGGCTCTGTGCTGAATATGCTAGTGACCTAATCTGCTATTTTGAAATTGTGTGCACAGATGTTTGTTTCTTCCTTTGAATGAAATGAAATGTTGTGTAGGAGACTTTATATGAAAAATAAACTTTGCATGGAAAGTACTAAAAAATAAGGGTTGATAACGATCATCAAGTTAGTAAATGTACTCCCTTTTTGAAAACTTTGTGAACTATAGCTGATTTAAATCCAATTTAAACTATGAAAAGCTAAAAAGTAGGTTGCTTAGACAGGATTTTGCCAGGTAGGGTACAGTGATGACTCTGTGCTCTGAATTGTGGTACTTGAGTGTAACTAGAAATGTTTGGTGAATGAAGAGTGTAGAATAGTGAAGTTCCAGAGCTGTGCTGATAAAAAAGCCTGGCACTCTGAAATTGTGGTATTTTGAGCCCACGTCAAGCTGTCTCAATTGAGATTAATTTATCAGACAACTCTCAGTGTGGGGGTTAGGCTTCCCTTGGAGAAATTCCTTCAAGTCAATCTGTGCTAATCCATCCTCAGTCTCATGTAGCAATACAAAATGCTTGAGAAGCATCCACCCTCCCTTTGCAGCGTGTCTTTCTGAAAAGAAAGGGATTAAAAGCAAAATGCATTTTTGTCCTCTGCAGGTACACATCAACTAGAGCCTTCCTAGCCACTTTAAATGAAATGAATGACTATGCTGGACAGCACGAGGTCATTTCAGAGAACATGACCTCTCTGATCACTGGAGAGTTAACACGCTATGTGCAGGAGCTGAAACAGGAGAGGAAATCGGTAACTGCTCATTTTTTATTATTCACAGTTAATTGATGTTTGACAGGTAATTAGTGGTAGGGGAGTTGAACGTTAAGCAAAATTTATTTGTAGTTAATAAACATGAGCTTTGCTAATGAACCAAGCATTGGAAAAGTGGGTTGTGTGCCCTGGCCAAGTCACTGAACCATTTGAATCAAATGTTATAAAATCAGACAGCAATGCCTTCAGGAGAATCCCTGCTAAATAAGGTCAGAGACCCATCTGTGCTTAAGGCTCTGTTAGCCAAAAGCTTGTTTAGGGAAGAGTCCAGCAGCACTGTGTAAAGCCTGAAATAAACAGAGAAATTGTATTACTAAGACCAAGGGAAAGAATTATTAGGAACTTAGTTCACATTGTCCTCCTTAGCCAGATCTGGTCAACAGAACCTTCTAAAAAACTATTCTATTGAAAACATGGGGTCTGCCTTGTTTTGTGATTATGGGGAATCTGGTTTTCCACCTGTTGTCCTTCAGGACTGGTAGAATTGGCTTCATGTTAGTCCAGTATTTTAGCTAGTAGTTTAGGAACCTGTGTGCTCACTGTAGTAAATGTTCAAAGCTGATTAATTTGTATGTCACCAGGTCTGAAAGGCATATAATTGAGATGTCATTTTAATTCCTTTCCTTGAACCCTTTTACCCCTGGGATGAATGGGCATAAAATAGTGATTCCAAATATTACTGTTACAAATACTCATAACGTGTGTCTAAAATAACTGATGAAAGTGCAACAAGGCTGGGGAGCATCAGGGCACTGTATTTCATTTCCAAACTGTTGATCCACTCTGGGAAGTGCAAAAGTATCCTTGCTTAGTCCAGCATTTATAAATAGTCCCACTAAATGTTAAGCATGTGCTGTGCAAAATCAGTGTCCTGGAAATGACCATCTTTTCCTAAGCCTGGTATTAGGATAAGTCTCTCAACAGAAGAATAGAATATATAGACATACCTTTAGTTTGCAGAATGGTGTGTTATCTTTTAGGGACATAATATTTTGCAGCATCATGGAAGGGTGTTTTACAGCTGTGATGAAAATCGTTTCTCAACCACTTCTATGATTCAGCACAAACTCTGTACAATAAGCATAGCAAAAAAAAGAGGCATTCTAATATGGCATTTTCCTGTCACTTCCAAGTTTTTACCTAATTGTTCAATTATATGGGTGTATAAGGTGATTGGTATATCACCTAGACATTTTAAATAAAATGAAAGAGGACTTGCTATCTTTCTTGTAAAGACTGAGCAGTAACTATTGCCTTTTTTGTTTTATTTGTAGACTTTTGTAATAAGGATGGCTCATATGAGTAATGAGGGACAGGAGAATGATTGTAATATTGATTGAGTGTGACAGCATGGGAACAGCAAAAAAAAACAACTGACAGTGTATTTACCTGCTGTTGCTGGTGATTCTTATCCTCTAACAGAAAACAGTTGTCAGTCATGGTTGGTTGTTTTGTTCTTGTGATATTCATATAAGCCAAATGAATTATGAATCCTTGTCTGATTCCTGTAGTTTTCTCATTTAAGAGAAAATGGGGTTGAAAAGGAAACTGCTTTCTCCTTCAGGCATTTCAGGCCTCTCTCACTTCATCCCATACAATACAAATGCAGCCACTCATGCTGGGGTCTGCAGAAGGGGGAGGTGGTTGGTAGAGGGGCTGATGCTTTGGCAAAACTTTTTATGATAGAAATTGAGGAATAGGTCGGTATTGTCAGAAACGTTGCTGGCAGAGCTCTGATGCTCCCTACTTCATATGGCACTGGCTGTAACACTGCAGGTTCACAGAATCAGTATGGTTGGAAAAGATCATCAAGTCCAACCATTAACCTAAAACTACAAAGTGCATCAAGTAGCTGTAAAGCTTCAAGAAAGGGTGATCACTTCTGGGGTTAGGGCCACACGTAGAAATTGGGAGATCTACATTCTCCTCTAGAGTCTTGTATCATTTGAATTAAGTCATTCAGGTGTCCAGATACATGTAAAATGGTACAGATTTCCAGAGATTTCAGTGTGACTGAGATTTGTGTTGTAATTTCCCACCTGGAAGATGGGGATTATGCACAGAGGTGTTGTAATGATAAATGTGTAAAAAACCCTCAAGTACAGGAGAGAGGCAAATATATCAGACTTAAGAGCTCCTGTTTCAAAGAAAACTCCTTTGATATGCAAAAGGATTGGGCATCTAGTGGAGTCATGGTGGCTGAGGGTGATGATCTCTAAATCCATGGGGTCTGCATTGCCTGCATTACTCTGTTTTCATGCTCATTTACTTCTGATTAGAGTGGAATTACAGCAGCAGATGATTGGAGTCACATGATAATAAATCACACTTCTTGGTTTTTCCTTGACAAGCACAGGCCTGTAAGCAGCGCAGAACCTGATTGTACATAAAGCCTTAGATTAGTTTTATGGTGGATAAAATTAATTTGGCATGCAATTTTTACTTATGTTGGATTTGGCTCCTTTGAAAGGTGTGCTGGATGGCTGCCTGTGTCATGTTTTTTCATAAAGACACTTGCTAGTGATGAAAATAAGGGAAGAAGCAACTAATCAAAACCAAGCAGGATGTTCTGGAGTTTGGATGAGTGGGATGATCTGCAAATTCCCAGTGGTTTGGCACTGTTCAAAAGAGAGAGACCTCTATCCTCTGACCTGGTTTGGAGTTTAGGAGAGTTCTGGGTTGCCTTTATGGTTTTTTTTCAGAGTCACTGAAGTTAGTTGTACACTCTGCCTGCTTTTCACACCCCGTTTGTGTGTGGGAAAACTCCTTGCACTGTTTCAATTCTTCCCAGCTGTCTAGTGAAGTGAAACTCTTTATTGTACAGTTCCTCACGTAACTTCTTCTATTCTCCTGGTCTTAGTGTGTCTGTGTTCTCATTTGAGTAACTTTCATCTTCAGCCAGGCTCTTGCTAACTTCTTTAAAGCTGAAATTTCACTTCTACACTACCTGTGAAGGTCATGCCTCATCTGCCTTCCTTCTGAGTTTACATGCACGTGGTTAAATTCCCCTCCACTGTGTGAAAACCTCCTTCACCAAGACACCAATGAGTTGGGGATTGCCTCTCAGAGTGGTTCAGGGAAAGAACTTGCTTCTGTGGCCATTCTTCATGCCACCCCAACTTCACCAAAACTTTTGGGGTAGCTGTGCAAAGTCAAGTTTGAGCTGAGTGTCCTGCAGTGTTACAAAATTGGGCCTTAATATTGCTTGTGTGTGACAAAAGGAGATGATCCCAGTAACATCCAGAGGTGTGTCTGGACTTCATTTCACAAGCATTAACAGGTAGTACATTTCCAGGTTGGAAATGTACTCAAGACTTGTTCTGCTCCCACCCATTGTAGTAGTTGCTGGATGCAATTGTAGCTTCTAAGCAGGCAGTTCCATGTGAGAGAAACATCAGCAGCATTCTGATTGCTTAAGTGAGGGAATCTGCTTCTCCACACTGTGCCTGCCAAGTTACTTAGCATGCTTTGTTTACTACCCTCTTCTTGGGTGACACCTGAGAGGACTTCTGAGCAGACATGTAGCCAGTGTGGCCCGAGCATTGAGAGTTTCTCTTTTTCTTAAAGCTTCACAGGAGGCACCTAAACCAAACTATTCTCTCAACTGTGGCTGAGGAAAACCCTCAGTATTGTAGTTTGTCCAGATAGGAACCCGAGAATTAATTCCTGGGACAATTCTGATTTAGATCTGTGTTCACAGACTAGGTCTGACTCATGGTCTCCTCTGGCAGCAGCTGCCCTGTAGCTGTTGCTCATGTCAGCTTTGCTAAAAATGTATTTAGGAGTCATGAACTATCCCTCTTATTAGTGTTGCTGTTTTCACCGCTGCCTCCACCTCCCCTTGGGGGTAGGCTGGCTCCATACAATCGTGCATGAAAGTCAAGAGCTTTGCTGCAGTCTGAACTGATCCATCATTGGGATTCTGTGGTTGAGAGAGAATTTACCTGCTGTCAATACATTCCATTTTGTGTCAGGATAGAAATGGAACAGGGAATGAATGCATCCTTATGGGTCCTGTGGGGGCAAAAAGGGTCTGGTTCTTTATGGTGAAGCATGTGTGCCCTCCCCATGTGTAGTCATCTTGGGGTGTACATGTCAGAGAGCTTTCTGTTTCTGGTTGATTCTCAGGTGTTGATGAAAAGTAAATAATTGGGAGGAATTCTGCTACGTTCAGTTCATTCTGAATGGTGCCTTGTTCTGCAGAGAGTCCTGTGGTTTTCAGCAGGGTTTCTCCCAGCACAGGGCACGGTGCAGGCATGAGATAGGGTGGTGGAATATGACCCTGTCAAGTGCACAATGGTTTTTTCCATCTTGTCTCTCTGTCTTTGGAGCACAGCTGTGCTTGGTGTTACAGAGGTACAAAGAGACATTGCTGCCTTCCAGAAATGACAAAGCCATTAGGCAAAGCGTGGGTGGTTAGGAAGAGAGAGACAGCAAAAGGAAGTGATTTGCCAAAATTCAAACTCTGGGTTGATGAGATTCATACTGAGCTTTCCTCAGCTCTTGTTCTGAGACTAACCCACTTCCAGTTTACTGCTCCATAAATGGAGTTAGAAGTATTTAGCTTTAATCTAAGGTTATAAAATTAAACATAAATATTTATGTTGCCAAGTAGAAGCCTTGCAGGAGTTATTTATGAACAGGAAGAGAACTCTGGGCATTGATGGGAGATTTTGTTGTGCTCAATAAATACACTGCACAACAATCCAACTCTACCCATTCTCTCTTTCTTGCAAGCTATTTCATCTGTGTTTCATTAGGTTAAATTGTATTCTTAGAGTATTGAGTAGTAGCTGTAAGAAATGAAGGATCATGATATAGAGTGTTTGTTGGTTTTTCCCAAAATATGGTACAAACTGTGTTAAATAAAACTGTGTCATCTAATCCTGCTGTGAAGGACTGTTCTGGGATGGAAAAAGCAAGTGCTTATTACAGAAGTTTGCAAAACAGTTTTGTGTGGGAGAGTAATAATAATAACA